ATCCCTCTTCCTTAACATCTCTCTCCATTAATATCCTTCTTCCTTAATATCCCTCTCCATTAATATTCCTTTTCCTTAATATCCCTTTCCATTGATATCCCTCTCCATTAATATCCCTCTTCCCTGATATCCCTCTTCCTTAAATCCCTCTTCCTTAAAATCCCTCTTCCTTAAAATCCCTCTTCCTTGATATCCCTCTTCCTTAAATCCCTCTTCCCTGATATCCCTCTTCCTTAAAATCCCTCTTCCTTAAAATCCCTCTTCCTTAAAATCCCTCTTCCCTGATATCCCTCTTCCTTAAAATCCCTCTTCCTTAAAATCCCTCTTCCCTGATATCCCTCTTCCTTAAAATCCCTCTTCCTTAAAATCCCTCTTCCTTAATATCCCTCTTCCTTAATATCCCTCTTCCTTGATATCCCTCTCCATTAATATCCCTCTCCCTAAATATCCCTATTAATTAATCTCCCTTCCTCTCCCATCCCTGCTGCTCGTTAACAGTTAATTAAAGCCCTCAGCCCCCCCTCCTGGGAGCAGGGAATGAGGGAGGAGGGGCTGGAATGTCGCCCTGACCTTCACAGGGACCTCGTTCCCGGGGATTTCTCGCTCCAAAAACTCCCCTTGGAAGCTTTCCCCGAGCTCCTCTTTGTCCCTGAAGGGCATCAAAAGAGGGATTGAAAAGAAAATTGGGGATTTCCTGAGCGACCCAACCCCTGGGGAGGTCAGGGAAGGGGGATTGGAGGGGCTGCAGCTCCCGGAATCCGGGATTTCCCACCTCCGGGCCGGTGGGTCCTGGAGAAAAAAAAACCTTGGAAAAGGCAGTCAGGCATCCCTGAACCTCCCTGCCCCGGGTTTAATTAGTGAGGAGGACGAGGTGAGCGACTAATTAACCCCCCTGGCTGAGCTCCAGGAGGAAAACAGTGTGCATTTCTGGGATTCGGGAATTTTTGACCCCGAAATGGCCCCTTTTGGGGGCTTTTGAAGGGATCGGATTTGGGATAACGACGGGATTTTTCCTGGCAGGAGCTACTCCTCCCTGATGAAGGCAGAGAACATGTCCTCCAACCAGGTGAGTGGGAGCTGCTGAGCCCACGGAATCCCCGGGACAGGGATGGAATTCCAGCCTCCTGCCCGTGATCCCGCTGGGAATGACTTTGGGAGGACACTGGGGATCAGTGGGGCTGAGGAAATAGGGATAAAGTGCTCCCAGGTCTTTCATCCCAAGGGAAAGAACAGGTTCAGGGTGAGGATTAACTGGATGCTCCATCCCTGGAAGTGTTGGATGGGGCTTGGAGCAACCTGGGATAGCGGGAGGTGTCCCTGCCCATGGAATGGGATGGGCTGTGAGGGCCCTTCCCACCCAAACCAGTCTGGGATTCCGGGATAACGGACACTCAGAACGCGTTCAGAGGGGTTTTCATGGAATGTGGGGATGGAAAAGGCAGGAAAGGGGAAGGGAGACCCTGCCCTGAGTGCTGAGATTCCCAGGGAACCCCCTTGTTCCCGGAACTCCTTCCCAGGGAGGAGCTGGGCTGGGGCTGGATCCAATGGCAGGCTCTGGCTCCAGGCTGGGAGAGCTGGGAATGGCCAGGCTGGAGAAGGGAAGGATCCCGGGAGAGCTTGGAGCACATTCCAGAGCCTGAAGGGGCTCCAGGAGAGCTGGAGAGGGCCTGGGGATCAGGGCCTGGAATGCCAGGCCCCAGGGAATGGATCCCAGTGGGAAAGGGGAGATTTGGGGGGGAGATTGGGAAGGGATTCCTGGCTGGGAGGGTGGGGAGGGGCTGGGCTGGAATTCCCAGAGAAGCTGTGGCTGCCCCTGGATCCCTGGCAGTGTCCCAGGCTGGGGTTGGATTCCCTGGGATAGCGGGAGGTGTCCCTGCCCATGGAATGGGACGAGCTTTGTGTTCCCCCCCAAACCAACCCATCCCAGGCCCCCTTTGCTCTGCTTTCCTGGGGTGAAATCCAAGGAACCGGAACAAAGGGGAATTCTGCGATGATCCACCCCCCATTTCCCACTTGTAGCATTCCCAATGATCCCGATCTTCCCTCTCTTTTTTTTTTTAATCCCCCCAGGATGGCAACGACTCCGACGACTTCATGTGAGCGGAGCCGCTCCCGCCCGGCCCCGCCGCTCCAATGCCAAAAAAAACACATCCCAAAAAAACCGGCCTGGGAGCCCCTTCCCTCCCGGCTCCGGGCCAGGGACACCCTCTGGAAGGAGCAGCCGGATCCCTGGGATGGCCTCCAGCCCCCCGTGGTTTTCCCAAAGACAGTGGTATTTATTTTGGGGAAGGGATCCCGGGGGCTGGGCCGTGGCCCCGGGGCCCTGCTGGAGCTGCTGCTGCCTCTGGAATTCCGCTCTTCCCGCTGGGAATCGCCGGGAAAACCGGAGGGGGGGGATCCCTCCGTGACAAAGGGAGGGGTGGGAAAAATCGGGATGAGCTCGGTGGTGGCTCCTGGATAAACCTGGTGGTGGAGATCCAGCTCTGATTCCCGCCCCCGAACCCCCTGGAATTCCAATGTGTTCCCGCTTGGAATCCTCCTCTGGAGGGAGGGGTGGAAGGAGGAGGTTGAGTTTTCCACAGGATTCACCAGGTGGATCCTCCCACCTGGGCATTCCATGGGGTTTGTGGGGGGGAATCCCTGGATAATCCCGGTGTACATATCCCCATTAAACTGGTGCCATGCAGGCGACATCCCGGAGCAGCGGGAATTCTGGGAGAGGGGAAAAACAGGGAAAAGGGCCCCTCAACGAGCCCAAACCGTCACGGGCTCGGCGAAAAATCATGGAATGTTCCGGGAGAAAAGGGCGGATCCCGGTGATAACACACCTGGAAGGAGCTGCTTCCTGCAATTCCCAGCATTCCCGAGGGGAAAAGGGGCCTAAGGAAGGGCCCAGGCTGCCCTGGAGCCCTCCCGGTTCCCTACTGGGAAAGAGCAGGAGGAGGGCGTGGGATGCGCTTTCCTCTTTTTAGGGATGTGGGAAGGGGGGAATCCATGGGAAAACCGAGGCCTGGAGCAGCCACGGGGGTGCTCCCCCCCCTTCCCCCTTTTCCCAGGAAAAGCAGGGAGAAGGTGGGAGTGTGGGAATGGGGGGTGAGGAGCCGGGGGGCCCCTCCCTGCCCTGCCCACAAAGGGCCCTTTCATGGATGGGGCGGGAGCGGCTCCGGAGGCTCCGGCACCGCCCCGGCCTGGCAGCTCCAGGGATTTTCCTTGGCGCCGGAATCCGGCGGCTCCGGCGGCCTCAGGAGCCCTCGGGACAGGGAGGCACTGCCTGGGGAATCCATGGGAATGGGGGTGATGGCACCCCATGGATCCGTGTCCGTGGGCACAGATTCCCAAACGCCCCCTGGATCCCTGCTCGTGGAATGGGAGTCCTTGGAACACCCTGTGGATCACTGTCCATGGAATGGGAGTCCTTGGAACACCCTGTGGATCACTGTCCATAGGAACATATTCCCAAACACCCCCTGGATCACTGTCCATGGAATGGGAGTCCTTGGAACACCCCTTGGATCACTGTCCATGGAATGGGAGTCCTTGGAACAGCCTGTGGATCACTGTCCATGGAATGGGAGTCCTTGGAACACCCTGTGGATCACTGTCCATGGAATGTGAGTCCTTGGAACACCCTGTGGATCGTTGTCCATGGGAACATATTCCCAAACACCCCCTGGATCACTGTCCATGGAATGGGAGTCCTTGGAACACCCTGTGGATCATTGTCCATGGGAACATATTCCCAAAACACCCCCTGGATCTCTGTCCATGGAATGTGAGTCCTTGGAACACCCTGTGGATCACTGTCCATGGCCACAGATTCCCAAACACCCCCTGGATCACTGTCCATGGAATGTGAGTCCTTGGAACACCCTGTGGATCATTGTCCATGGTCACATATTCCCAAACACCCCTTGGATCACTGTCCATAGAATGGGAGTCCTTGGAACACCCCCTGGATCACTGTCCCTGGAATGGGAGTCCTTGGAACACCCTGTGGATCACTGTCCATAGGAACATATTCCCAAACACCCCATGGATCACTGTCCATGGAATGTGAATCCTTGGAACACCCTGTGGATCATTGTCCATGGGAACAGATTCCCAAAACACCCCTTGGATCACTGTCCATGGAATGGGAGTCCTTGGAACACCCCTTGGATCACTGTCCATGGTCTCATATTCCCAAACATCCCCTGGATCATTGTCCATGGTCACATATTCCCAAAACACCGCATGGATCATTGTCCATGGAATGTGAGTCCTTGGAACACCCCCTGGATCACTGTCCATGGTCACATATTCCCAAACACCCCCTGGATCACTGTCCCTGGAATGGGAGTCCTTGGAACACCCCCTGGATCACTGTCCATGGAATGGGAGTCCTTGGAACACCCCTTGGATCATTGTCCATGGTCTCATATTCCCAAACATCCCATGGATCACTGTCCCTGGAATGTGAGTCCTTGGAACACCCTGTGGATCGTTGTCCATGGGAACATATTCCCAAACACCCCCTGGATCACTGATCCATGGGAATGGGGGTCCCAGCACCCTGTGGATCATTGCCCATGGTCACAGATTCCCAACCATCCCATGGATCATTGTCCATGGAATGTGAGTCCTTGGAACACCCTGTGGATCACTGTCCATGGAATGGGAGTCCTTGGAACACCCCCTGGATCACTGTCCATGGAATGGGAGTCCTTGGAACACCCCCTGGATCACTGTCCATGGAATGGGAGTCCTTGGAACACCCTGTGGATCACTGTCCATGGAATGGGGGTCCCAGCACCCTGTGGATCATTGTCCATGGCCACATATTCCCGAACACCCCCTGGATCACCATCCGTGGGCTGTGAATCCTTGGAACACCCCGTGGATCACTGCCCACGTCCACACTGTCCCCCCACAGCACCTTTGGGACAATCCCTCGGGAATGACAGGGAATGCCGAGCCCCTTTCCCACCCCGCTCCCTCCACGGATCCCCCTCTGGAATCCCGCCCATCCCGCCGCCCTCAGCACTTCCCGCCCCCGCTCCCGGTGTTGTTTTTTTCCCAGGAATGCCGTGAAATCCAATCTCCCGCCGCGGCCGCGGGGAAATTCCTGCCCTTGCACATTTTTTTCCCTGCCCGGTGTTATCCCGAGGCTGCTCCCGCAGTTTTCCGCGGACTCGGGAGTTTTTGGGGAAGGGCCGGGAGAAGTTTTGGGGTGTCCGTGTCCCCCCTTCCCGGCACCGGGCGGATTTTGGGGTCCCCTTTTCGTCCCGTTCCCTGTCCCGTCCCGGGATACCCCCAGCCCCCAAATCCAACCGGGACAATCCCAACCCTTCCCGGGGTGCGGAGGGGGGGGGTGCCTCCCCCAATCCCTGGGACACCAGGACACCCAATGCCTGGGATACAGGGACCCCAATGCCTGGGATATGGAGACCCCCAATCCCTGGGATACAGGGACACCCAATCCCTGGGACACGGAGACCCCCAGTCCCTGGGATACCAGGACACCCAATCCCTGGGATACTGGGACCCCAATGCCTGGGATACCAGGACCCCAATCCCTGGGATATCAGGACCCCCAATCCCTGGGATACAGAGACCCCCAATCCCTGGGATACCAGGACACCCAATCCCTGGGATACAGAGACCCCCAATCCCTGGGATACCAGGACACCCAATCCCTGGGATACTGGGACCCCAATGCCTGGGATACCAGGACCCCAATCCCTGGGATATCAGGACCCCCAATCCCTGGGATACAGAGACCCCCAATCCCTGGGATACCAGGACACCCAATCCCTGGGACACTGGGACCCCCAATCGCTGTGACATGGAGACCCCCAGTCCCTGGGATACAGGGACACCCAATCCCTGGGATATGGAGAACCCCAATCCCTGGGATACGGGGACCCCCCAATCCCTGGGATACCAGGACACCCAATCCCTGGGATATGGAGACCCCCAATCCCTGGGATAACAGGACACCCAATCCCTGAGATATGGAGACCCCCAATCCCTGGGATAACAGGACACCCAGTCCCTGGGATACGGGACCCCCAATCCCTGGGACACGGTGAAATCCCTGGGATATTCCCTGTCCCATCCCGGGATACCCCCAGCCCCCAAATCCCACCGGGACGATCCCAACCCTTCCCGGGGTGTGTGTGTGTGTGGGGGGGTCTCCCATCCCCTCCACAAGGAATTCCCAACTCCCGGCCCCCCCAAACCCCCTTCCCGGAGCCCCCCCGCGCCAGCGCGGCCTCTCCCGCCCCTTCCCAAGGCCGATCCCGGCTTTTCATCCCGCCCGGCGCTGGGTTTTTTTTTTGGGATCCAAACAGGAAGCGGAGCTGCCAACACCAATAAACCCGCCCGGGCGGAACGGCCCGGCCCGGGGGGGGCTTTTGGGGGGCCTGAGACCCCCAATTCCCGCTGCCACAGCAGGGACACCCCCCACCCCCCCCCAAACGCACTGTGCCCCTCCCGGCATTCCCAGTATTCCCAGTGTTCCCAGTTCAGGAGCCGCCCGGCCCCAAAGGCCTTTATTGTGCCGAGAGTACAGTGGGGGGGGAGGGGGGGGCACAAACCGGCTGTGCCCCATCCCGGGGGAACCCAATCCCTGGGATACAGGACACCCAATCCTTGGGATACTGGGACACCCAATCCCTGGGATACCAGGACATCCAATCCTTGGGATACAGGGAACTCCAATCTCTGGGATACCAGGACAACCAATCCTTGGGATATGGGGACACCCAATCCCTGGGATACTGGGACCCCAATCCCTGGGACACCAGGACCCCAAATCCCTGGGATATGGGGACCCCAATGCCTGGGATACAGGGAACTCCAATCTCTGGGACACCAGGACACCCAATCCCTGGGATATGGGGACCAGCCCCAGACCATCCTGGGGGACCCCCAATCCCTGGGATACCAGGACCCCCAATCCCTGGGATACCAGGACCCCCAAATCCCTGGGATACAGGACCCCCAATCCCTGGGATACAGGGAACCCAAATCCCTGGGATACAGGACCCCCAATCCCTGGGACACAGGGAACCCCAATCCCTGGGATACCAGGACACCCAATCCCTGGGATACCAGAACCCCCAATCCCTGGGACCCCCAATCCCTGGGGGCCAATCCCCAAACAATCCCTGGGAATATCCCAATGGGATACTGGGAGACAGGGAACCCAATCCCTGGGCACCAGGGACACCCAATCCCTGGGATATGGGACCAGCCCCCAGACCATCCCGGGGGACCCCAATCCCTGGGATACCAGGACCCCAATCCCTGAGATACCAGGACCCCCAAATCCCTGGGAACAGGACCCCCAATCCCTGGGATACAGGACCCCCAATCCCTGGGATATGGGGACCCCAATCCCTGGGACACCGGGACCCCAATCCCTGGGATACCAGGACACCCAATCCCTGGGACACAGGGACCCCCAATCCCTGGGATACAGGGACCCCCAATCCCTGGGATACAGGGACCCCCAATCCCTGGGACACGGTGAAATCCCTGGGATATGGGGACCCCAATCCCTGGGATACAGGGAACTCCAATCTCTGGGATACAGGGAACTCCAATCCCTGGGACACCAGGACACCCAATCCCTGGGATATGGGGACCAGCCCCAGACCATCCCGGGGGACCCCCAATCCCTGGGATACCAGGACCCCCAATCCCTGAGATACCAGGACCCCCAAATCCCTGGGAACAGGACCCCCAATCCCTGGGATACAGGACCCCCAATCCCTGGGATATGGGGACCCCAATCCCTGGGACACCGGGACCCCAATCCCTGGGATACCAGGACACCCAATCCCTGGGACACAGGGACCCCCAATCCCTGGGATACAGGGACCCCCAATCCCTGGGATACAGGGACCCCCAATCCCTGGGACACGGTGAAATCCCTGGGATATCGGGCCCCAATCCCTGGGATACAGGAAACCCCAATCCCTGGGACACAGGGAAATCCCTGGGATACAGGGACCAGCCCCAGGCCATCCCAGGGGACCCCCAATCCCTGGGATACAAGGGACCCCAATCTCTGGGACACTGGGAACCCCAATCCCTGGGATACAAGACTCCCAATCCCTGCGACACGGGGAAATCCCTGGAAAATGGGGACCCCAACCCCTGGGATACGGGGACCAGCCTCGGGCCCGAAAACTGGGAGCGACTGGGATACCCCCCCACCCCCCCATCCTGCAGGGGGGGTCAGGGGTGACAATGGGGACCCCCTGTCCCAGTTACTGTCCCAGGGGATGGAATCAGAGACCCCCCCATTCCCCCCCAGTCACTGTCCCGGGGATCCGGGGGGTCCCAGTGGCCCCGGGGGTCCCAGGGGATAAATTGGGGACCCCCTGTCCCAGTCACTGTCCCGGGGGTCCCAGGGGATGGAATTGGGGACCCCCTGTCCCAGTCACTGTCCCAGAGGATAAATTGGGGCCCCCCTGTCCCAGTCACTGTCCCAGGGGATAAATTGGGGGCCCCCTGTCCCAGTCACTGTCCCAGGACATGGAATTGGGGCCCCCCTGTCCCAGTCACTGTCCCGGGGGTCCGGGTGGTCCCGGTGGTCCCGGGGGTCCCCTCATGCCGGGCTCTCCCTTGGGTCCCTCGGGCCCTGCCCGTCCCGTGGCCCCGGGGGTCCCAGGCATTCCCGGTGTTCCCTGTGGGCCGGGGGGTCCCGCCTTTCCCGGTTCCCCCTCCGGCCCCGGGGGTCCGGGATCCCCCTCGGACCCGCCCTGGCCCCGGGATCCCGAGAGTCCAAAGCTGCCCTTGGAGCCCTTGAGCCCCGGGAATCCTCTCGTTCCCAGAGGTCCCCGTTCCCCCTGGGGGCCGGCGGGTCCTGGGGGTCCCAGAGCTCCGGGGGGTCCCGGCGATCCCAGGATCCCGATGTCACCCTTCTGTCCCCCCATTCCCGGGGGGCCGCTGGATCCAACGTCCCCCTTGAGGCCACGGGGGCCTGGGAGACCCGGAATGCCTGGAAAGAGGGAGAGGAGGGGTGAGGGGGGGGATGCTCCGACCTCGGGGGTCTTGCTAAGGCCGGGATGGATGGAGAATTCCATCCATGGAAGGATTTGGGTGCCCTCAGCCAGGGGTGGCTGCTCCCTCTCCGCCGGGACCGGGGAGAGGAGGCACTGGCACCGGGGGAAGGACATGGAAGGACTTTGGGAGGACATGGAAGGATATGGAAGATATGGAAGGACATGGAAGGACATGGAAGGATGTTGGAAGGATGTTGGAAGCACATGGAAGGATATGGAAGCACATGGAAGGACATGGAAGGATATGGAAGCACATGGAAGGACAAGGAAGGACATGGAAGCACATGGAAGGATATGGAAGCACATGGAAGGACATGGAAGGACATGGAAGGATACGGAAGGACATGGAAGGATATGGAAGGACATGGAAGGACATGGAAGCACATGGAAGGACATGGAAGGACATGGAAGGATATGGAAGCACATGGAAGGACATGGGAAGGACCTCCCTGCTGTGCCCCCATTGTGGGACATCTCCTCATCCATGGGATGCTCCAGATGCCTTCCCGCACATCCCAGCCCTTCCTTGACCTCAGCACGGCTGGTTTGGCCCCTCCTCCACCTCCCTTGGGATCAGGATCCCCCAAATCCCACCAAATCCGAGGAACCTCCCTTTTCCCCCCCCACACCTTGGAGCAGGGTGACATTCCTGAGCATGTCCCCCAAATCCCACCCAATCCTTCAAAATCCCACCCAGTCCCAGGTACACCTCCCCAGATTCCCCCTGTCCCTCACCTCGGAGCGGGGTGACGTTCCTGAGCACATCCCTGTGCCGTGCATCCACCAAATCCCATTAAATCCCACCCAATCCCAGGAACACCTCCCTGGATCCCTCCCTTTTCCCTCCTGTCCCTCGCCTCGGAGCAGGGTGACGTTCCTGAGCACATCCCTGTGCCACACATCCACCCAATCCCACCCAATCCCACCCAATCCCAGGAACACCTCCCCTTTCCCCCCCATCCCTCACCTCGGAGCAGGGTGATGTCCCGCAGCGCGTCCCCGTGCCACACATCCACCCAATCCCACCCAATCCCAGGAACACCTCCCCTTTCCCCCCATTTCCCTCACCTCGGAGCAGGGTGATGTCCCGCAGCGCGTCCCCGTGCCACACATCCACCCAATCCCACCCAATCCCAGGAACACCTCCCTGGATCCCCCTTCCCCCCGTTTCCCTCACCTTGGAGCAGGGTGGGGTCCTGCAGTGCGTCCTCCAAATCCCACCCAATCCCTCAAAATCCCACCCAATCCCAGGAACACCTCCCCTTTCCCCCTTGTTTCCCTCACCTCGGAGCAGGGTGACGTTCCTGAGCACATCCCTGTGCCAAGCATCCACCCAATCCCACCCAATCCCAGGAACACCTCCCCTTTCCCCCCCATCCCTCACCTCGGAGCAGGGTGATGTTCCTGAGCACGTCCCCGTGCTGTGTGTCCACCCAATCCCACCCAATCCCACCCAATCCCACCCAATCCCAGGAACACCTCCCCTTTCCCCCCCATCCCTCACCTCGGAGCAGGGTGATGTCCCGCAGCGCGTCCCCATGCCACACATCCACCCAATCCCACCCAATCCCACCCAATCCCAGGAACACCTCCCCAGATCCCCCCTTTCCCTGACCTCGGAGCAGGGTGATGTCCCGCAGCGCGTCCCCGTGCTGTGTGTCCACCCAATCCCACCCAATCCCACCCAATCCCAGGAACACCTCCCCAGGTTTCCCTCACCTCGGAGCAGGGTGATGTCCCGCAGCGCGTCCCCGTGCCGCGCGTCCACCGCCCTCATCTCCTCGAGCAGCAGGGACAGGTTCCGGACCCCGACGTCCAGGCGGGCCCCGAGGATCCCGAAGCGCTCCCGCAGGATCCCGGCGGACCCCTGGAGCGCCGCCAGGGACCCGTTGAGCCGCAGGATGTCGCGGGCGTGGGCGCGCAGGCGGCGGGCGCAGGATTCCCGCACGGAGCCCAGGTAGCGCAGCATGGCCAGCACGTGCCCGCCCGTGGCCGCCAGGTTGGCCGAGATGGTCCCGATCTCCTCCCCGTGGGATTCCAGGAGCCCCTCCAGCGCCCGGAACCCGTCGGCCGTGCGGTTCTGGGCGTGGCCCCCGTGGTACCTGCGGGGACGGACGGGGGGGTTGTGGGGTCACAAATGCCCGGAGGGGAATGGGAAGGGGTGGGAGGTGGTGGGGTGGCCCCAAATCCCTCAGGGCAGGCCCTGGAGCCCACGTGGAGTCATGGATGGACTGGGAAAGCTTCTCCACCCCACAGATCCGGGGGGAATGGGGGGGTAGGGACGGTGGGGACAGTGCCCTATAACACCCACACCTCATATGGGGACAGGGGGACACTGCCCTATAACACCCACAGCTCCTATGGGGATTGGGAGGACACTGCCCTATAACACCCCCAGCTCCTATGGGACAGTGAGGACACTGCCCTATAACACCCACAGGGACAGTGGGGTCACTGCCCTATAACACCCACAGGGACAGTGAGGACACTGCCCTATAACACCCCCAGGGACAGTGAGGACACTGCCCTATAACACCCACAGCTCCTATGGGACAGTGAGGACACTGCCCTATAACACCCACAGGGACAGTGAGGACACTGCCCTATAACACCCACAGGGACAGTGAGGACACTGCCCTATAACACCCCCAGGGACAGTGGGGTCACTGCCCTATAACACCCCCAGGGACAGTGAGGACACTGCCCTATAACACCCACAGGGACAGTGGGGTCACTGCCCTATAACACCCACAGGGACAGTGAGGACACTGCCCTATAACACCCACAGGGACAGTGAGGACACTGCCCTATAACACCCACAGGGACAGTGGGGTCACTGCCCTATAACACCCACAGGGACAGTGGGGTCACTGCCCTATAACACCCACAGGGACAGTGGGGTCACTGCCCTATAACACCCCCAGGGACAGTGGGGACACTGCCCTATAACACCCCCAGGGACAGTGGGGACACTGCCCTATAACACCCCCAGGGACAGTGGGGTCACTGCCCTATAACACCCACAGCTCCTATGGGGTCACTGCCCTATAACACCCACAGGGACAGTGAGGACACTGCCCTATAACACCCCCAGGGACAGTGAGGACACTGCCCTATAACACCCACAGCTCCTATGGGACAGTGAGGACACTGCCCTATAACACCCACAGCTCCTATGGGGTCACTGCCCTATAGATAAAAAATATCTCTAAATATATATATATATATAATATATATACTTAAATAAAATATAGATAAAATATACAAAACATATATATTATATATATGAAATATATATTATACATATCTTAAATATATAGCTAAAATATATATTAAAAATTTTATATAAATATGTATTAAATATAGGTTAAATGTACATTTTTACATTTTTTACAGTATATATGTAAGTATAAAAATGTATTTTATATATTTTATCCATATTTTATTTTATATATATTTGTAATACATATTTTATAAATAATATGCTGATATATAAATATATAATATATCTAAATATATATATAATATATGTACGTAAATAAAATATAGATAAAATATACAAAACATATATTTTACATATGAAATATATATATTATATATATCTTAAATATCTAGCTAAAATATATATTAAAATTTTTATATAGATATATATTAAATATACATTAAATGTACATTTTTATATTTTTTACATCATATATGTAAGTATACAAATATATTTTATATACTTTATTTTATTTTATATATATTTGTTATATATATTATATATATATCATATATGTAATATATGTAATATATATTATATATAAATATATAATATATAAATATGTTATATATATGAATATATAAAAATAAGTTTCTATAAAATATGTAAAATATAGGTAAAATAAAGAAATATATATTTTAAAGGAATATCTCTCAATATGTATAATATATTTTATATAATTACATAAATATAATAATATGTATGTATATATAATATATATGTATAAAGAATAATATATAAATATATATAAAATAGATAAATAATATATCTAAATACAGATAATATATATGAACACATAAAAATAAATTTCTATAAAATATTCAAAATATGGATAAAATAAAGGGATGGATATATTTTGAAAGGAATATCCATAAATATACGTTAAATCTCTTTTTATATAATTATATGAATATATTATCTCTAAATAATATTATATAAATATATTATATATAAATATATAATTGTATCATATAAATATATATGTTAATAATAAATATAAATATATATCTTATATAGAATACATAAATATATAAATACGAATTATATTATATATGAATACATAAATATGAATATATTATATATATATAGAAATGTATAAATTTATAGTCTTATTCGACTTATATCAACCTAATGTATATTATAGGCTTATCTGCATTTAAGATATCGTATTCGATATTATATCAGCTTACTTGTATCTATCTTATATTTTCTATTACATACTATTATATATATATATTGATATGCATTATAGATAAAAGATAGATTATGTTACTTTATGTGATATCTACCTAATAAAATGTATATACTTTATATATTATATATTAATATTTAATATAATATATAATTTAATATATAAATATATAATATATGTGTTTAATAATATGTAAATATATTATATATTAATATTTAATATAATATATAATTTAATATATAAATATATAATATATGTGTTTAATAATATGTAAATATATTATATTATGTATTCTATATAAACATATAAATATAATATAAATATAAATGTAAATATAAATAATATAAATATAATATATATAGTATATATTATATTATATATTAATATATATTATATTATATATTAATATATAATATATTATATATATATATAATTTAATATATAAATGTATATTATATATATTTACTAATATATAAATATATTATATTATATATTCTACATAAATCTATAAATACAATATAAAAATAAATATAAAAAAATTTAAAATACAGCTCCGAACGAAACTTATATTGCCCTCTCCCTCTCCCTATAGGTATTATATGCATTATAGATATCGTATTATATATTATATATATTATATATATTGTATATTATATTATATGTTATATTTATATATTATATATATTATATTATATGCATTATATATAAATATATATTATGTTATATATGTTATATATAAATATATCAAATTATATATATTATATATTATATATTAATATTTAATATAATATATAATTTAATATATAAATATATAATATATGTGTTTAATAATATGTAAATATATTATATATTAATATTTAATATAATATATAGTTTAATATATAAATATATAATATATGTGTTTAATAATATGTAAATATATTATATTATGTATTCTATATAAATATATAAATATAATATAAATATAAATGTAAATATAAATAATATAAATATAATATATATGGTATATATTATATTTTATATTAATATATATTATATTATATATTAATATATAATATATTATATATATATAATTTAATATATAAATGTATATTATATATATTTACTAATATATAAATATATTATATATTCTACATAAATCTATAAATATAATATAAAAATAAATATAAAAAAATTTAAAATACAGATCCGAACGACTCCCTTTTCAAGTCCCTCTCCCTCTCCCGGTCCCGTGCCCCCGCGCGCGCACTCCCCGGCGGGAATCCCGCTTACCGGGCGTCTCCGAGGTTGTCCCGCTGCTCCTCCAGCTCGGCGCTGGCGCTGTCCAGGCGCTCCTGCAGCTCGGCGGCGCGCATCGCCAGCTCCTGCAGCCCGCGGGAATTCCCGCCCTCCCTGCGCGCCGCCGCCCCCGCCGCGCCCTGCGCGCTCCCGAGCAGCTCCCGGGCGCGCTCCCGCCCGTCCCGCAGCTCCCCCAGCTCCCGCCGCCGCTCCTGCCGCTCCTCGCCCAAAGCCCGCAGCGCCCGCCCCGCCTCGGCCGCGCCGCCCCGCAGCTCCCGCAGCCTCTCCCGGCCCCGCTCCGCGCTGGAATTCAGCCGCTCCAGCGCCACTTCCAGCCCGGAGCCGTCCCGGGACAGCCCCCGCACCTCCGCGTCCAGCCGGGACGCCTCGTCCCGGCACCGCCCGGCCCGGGCCAGCAGCCGCTCCGCGCCCCGCGCCAGCCCCCGCACCGAGCCCGCGCTGCTCTCCAGCCGCGCCCCGAGCCCCGCGCCCGCCGCCGAGAGCCGGGAATGGCGCCGGGAGGTTCGCTCCAGCTGCGCCTCCTGCCCCTGCAGCGTCCGCTGGAGCTGCTCCAGCTCCGCCCGCAGCTGGGAGAGCTCCCGGCCCAGCTGCTCCCTGTCCTGGCACACGGAGACGTTCCCGGAGCTCTTCTCTCCTGGGCAGGGGGAGGGAGGGGCTCTTAGCCCACCCCATCCCGAGAGACGGCTGTTATCCCATCCTATCCTGGGATCCGCCTGTTATCCCATCCTGAGATCTACCCCTTATCCCACCCCATCCCGAGAGACGGCTGTTATCCCATCCTATCCTGGGATCCACCTGTTATCCCATCCTGAGATCTACCCGTTATCCCACCCCATCCCGAGAGACGTCTGTTATCCCACCCCATCCCGGGATCCAACTGTTATCCCACTCCATCCTGAGATCCACCTGTTATCCCACCCCATCCCACTCTCCAGGCCTGGAGACCCTCTGGATCCATGGTCAACCCTTCCTTTCCCTCCAGGGAACAAATCCTTCCCTCCAGGACAGTTTGGAGCCACTTGGACTCCTGGGAAGTGTCCCTGGATGCCTCCGGATCCTTAAGGCCCCTTCCCACCCCAATCTCGTCGTGATTCCATGATTCCAGGACCCTGGAGAAGGGAACTCCCCAATCCCACCCTCCTCCTGCTCCTGCAGCTTCTCCAACCCCCCCTTCCACCCCTTGGGGTCCGATGTTCATCCCTGCCCAAAATCCCGGGAGAAAAGCAGGGGGTTGGCTCTGGGGGAGCCCCGGGAGCCGGGAAAGGGAGATCCCTCATTCCGTGGCGGGATGGGCACCCGGAAAAGGCCTCTCCGGGTGCGGGTCCAGGCCACTCACCCAAGCCCTGGAGATCCTCCTGGATGGAGAGAAGCTTCTCCTCGTAGAAGGTCTGGGCCGAGCTGATCCGGCTGGAGATGGAATCCACCCTCCGGAACGCTGCGGGGGGAACGGGGCAGTCAGGAGAGGTGGGAATGCCCGGGAATACCGTCCTGCTCCACACCTTCCCTCCTGCCTGGCACAGAGGGTGTCCAGGGATTGCTGAGCCAGGCTGGGATGGGCATCCCCAGGCACTTCCAGGTTTGGGATTTGCCTGAACATCTCCAAGATTCCACCCCTGAGGAACGCCTTGGCCCTCTGCTCCGTCTGGGAAGCACCTGGGAGGTGATGGGATGGGATGGGATCCAACCTCCAGGCTCTGAGGTGGTTCCTGAGATCCAGAGGGATCCCGGTGTCGCCACACCCGGGGTGATCCCACCAGAATTCCAGCTGCTCCCCTCCACACCTGGGAGCTTCTGGGGAGTCAGGAGAGGTGGGAATGCCCGGGAATATTGTCCTGCTCCACACCTTTCCTCCCAGGAAGGCACTTAAACTGTCCAGGGATTGCTGAGCCAGGCTGGGATGGGCATCTCCGGAAGCTTCCAGGTCTGGGATTTGCCAAAGTATCTCCAAGATTCCACCCCTGAGGAACACCTTGTCCCTCTGCTCCGTCTGGGAAGCACCTGGAATGTGTCGGGATCCAACCTCCGGGCTCCGGGTCGGTCCCTGATGTTCCCATACAGGTAACACCCCCACCCCCTCCCCATTCCTGAGGCATCTCCACCCCCAGGGCGCTCCCAGCGGAATTCCAGCCGCTCCCCTCCACCCCGGGATGCCTCAGGACCCCCCCCCCCCCCCCCCCGAAATTCCCATCCCAGCATTCCCACCCCAAATTCCCGGCTCACCCAGCGCTCCCAGCACGGCCACGGCGAGCGACAGGAGCAGGGCCAGGGCGTAGAGTCCGCGCAGGGCGCTCCGCAGGGACGGGGACGGGGACGGGGACAGCGACAGCCTCCTCCGGCAGCTGCTCCGGGCCCTTCCTGCGGGAACAGAGGGACGGATCAGGCCCTGCCGGCCCCCCTCCCCCCCCCCCCCCCCCCCCCCGGAATTCCTTACCCCCGGATCCGCGGCTGGAGGTGGAATCCACCATCGCCATCTCCTCGCGCTCGCCTCCCGCCGGGTCGTGTCCTGGAAGGGGACGCGGAGCGGCCTCAGCTCCCCCCGCCCTCCCGATGCCATTCCAGGGATGCCTGAGGATCCCTGGGAACCGCCCCAGCCGCGTCCTGCCCCGGCATTCCCGGGGAAAAGTTGGGAAGGAGCCGCCGGTGCCACCCTGAGCAAAATCCCGGGAGCATTGGGATGCGCGTCCCTGTCCCCCCCCGGCGCCCAGTGGGACCTTTGGGCAGCAAATCCATAAATTTGGGTGGGATCCCATTCCAGGGATGCCTGAGGATCCCTGGGAACCACCCCAGCCGCGTCCTGCCCCGGCATTCCCGGGGGAAAGCCGGGAAGGAGCCACCGGTGCCACCCTGAGCAAAATCCCGGGAGCAGCAGGACGGGCGTCCCTGTCCCCCCCCGGCGCCCAGTGGGACCTTTGGGCACCAAATCCATAAATTTGGGTGGGATTTGGACCAGAAATCTGTGGAAATTTGGCTGCATTTGGCCCAAAAGTGGGGGATGGGCACAGGGGGGGCTCCTGGCTCCGGCTCCAAGGGGCTTCCTGGGAATAAAAACCACGGGAGCAAAGGAAAAACACCTCCCTGAGCAAGAGGGGAAACTCATGGGATGCTCCAGGTCTGAGGTCCCGCCACCCTCCTGATCCCATTCCCAGGGGGACAGAGGATCCCTGGAAACCCCCCCAGCCTTGTCCTGCCCTGGGATTCCCAGGAAAAAGCTGGGAAGCCCCCCAGGAGATCCCTGGAGCTGGGCAGATCCCGGTGGATTTTTGGGCACCGAATCCATAAATTTTGGTGGGATTTGGACCAGAAATTTGGGGAAATTTGGCTGCATTTGGCCCAAAAGTGGGAGATGGGCACAGGGGGGGCTCCTGGCTCCGGCTCCAAGGGGCTTCCTGGGAATAAAAACCATGGGAGCAAAGGAAAAACACCCCTCCCTGTGTGAAGGGGGAAATCTGGGCACCAGATCCGTAAATTTTGGTGGGATTTGGAGCATGAAATTGTGGAAACTTGGCTGGATTTGACCCAAAATGGGTGATGGACACAGGGAGGGCCCCTGGCTCCAAATCCATGGATTTGGGGAAATTTGGACCATAAATTTGGGGGAATTTGGCCCCAAAGTGGTTGGATTTGGCTCCTGGCTCCGAGGGGCTTCCCAGGAATAAAAAACCCATGGGATCAAAGGACTCTCCCCCCCTCGACTCCCCCCGGCCTGGACCCCCAGTGTGTGTGTGTGGGGAAATTTGGGATCCTCCCGGTGTCCCCCCCTTTATTCCACCCGGAACCCCCAAAAGTGGGGGGCGGGGGGGGGGGTGGGGGCAAAGAGGGGCTTTGGGGACGGGGACGGGGGGAAGAAATTCCCGTCCTTCCCATCCCAAATCTGGCTTTTCCTCCCTATGGAATCCACAAGCGATGGGATCTGTGGGAGCAGGGGGAGCCCCAGGACACCCCCCCCCAATCCCTCTTCCCCCTCCCTTCCCAATCCGGGGGTCCTTGGCCGTGTCTGGACCCCCCCAATCCCTCTTCCCCCCCCTTCCCAAATTTGGGGCTCCCCGGCCATGCCCAGACCCCATTCCCGGGAATCCCCTTCCCACGGGAAGCAGGACGGGGGGTGCGGGATTTTGGGACCCCCCCACCCCCACTCCGGCACATCCATCCCGTCCATCCGCCCCATCCCCCTCTTCCCAGCCCCCCCAATCCCGCCGGGAATGTTCCCTCCCTCCCCCCCCTCCCCCCTCACCTCTCATGGCCCCTTTTCCCGCATCCGCCTCTTCCCGGAGATCCTCAGGCTCCGGATCCAGCCGGAGCCGCTTCCCGGCGCTTTCCCCGCGCTCCCAAAACTTTCCCGGGAGCCTCCCGGAGCCCCCCCAGCGCTGGAGCATCCCCGGCGCCCATCCGGGAACGGGGGGGACGGGACACCGGGAATGGCGCGCGCTGGACACCGGCCGCCAAAAAAAAACCGGGAGCGGGGAGAGGAGCTGGAAAGGGAAAAAGGGGCCGGGAAGGAGAGTCCTGAGCCCGCCCCAAATCCACCCCCCCCCGGCCCCAATGACTCACAAACGGCCGAGAGGGGAGGGGGGAGACGGGCCCGATCCACCGGGATCGGGAATGGCGGGATTGGGAAAAGGGGGGAGCTGGTCCAAGGGGAGAGGGGGTGGGAGCGGGGGGGGAATAGGGAATGGGGGGCTGGGGACAGGGATTGGGGGCTGGGAGGGGGGAGAGGGGTCCGGGGGCTGATCCCTGGGAGTGGGCAGGGATAGGGGGAAGTGGATGTGGGATCCTGGGAATGGTCTCTGGATCTGGGGCAGGGATAGGGGAGATGGGTCTGGGATCCTGGGAATGGTCCCTGGATGTGGGGCAGGGATAGGGGAGATGGGTCTGGAGTGCTGGGAATGGTCCCTGGATGTGGGATAGGGATAGGGGAGATGGGTCTGGAGTGCTGGGAATGGTCCCTGGATGTGGGGCAGGGATAGGGGAGATGGGTCTGGGATCCTGGGAATGGTCCCTGGATCTGGGACAGGGATAGGGGAGATGGGTCTGGGATCCTGGGAATGGTCCCTGGATGTGGGACATGGGGAAATGTGTCTGGGATCTGAACCCTGGATTTGGGATCTGAACCCTGGATTTGGGATCTGATCCCTAGATTTGGGGTCTGATCCCTAGATTTGGGATCTGATCCCTAGATTTGGGGTCTGATCCCTGGATTTGGGGTCTGATCCCTGGATTTGGGGTCTGATCCCTGGATTTGGGGCAGGGACCTGGGATCTGATCCCTGGATCTGGGGCAGGATCCCTGGATATGGGGCAGGGACCCGGGGAAATGGGTCTGGGATCTGATCCCTGGATTTGGGGTCTGATTCCTGGATTTGGGGTCTGATCCCTGGATTTGGGGTCTGATCCCTGGATTTGGGGTCTGATCCCTGGATTTGGGGCAGGGATCTGGAATCTGATCCCTGGATCTGGGGCATGGACCTGGGGAAATGGGTCTGATTCCCGGTGCAGGGAATCTGGCCTTTGGATCAGGGATCCCGGGAATGGCCCCTGGATCTGGGGCCCTGCCTGGCCCCCCCAGTGCTGGTCCCACTCCCAGCTCCTGGTCTGGAGGGTGATCCCACCTCAGAAACACGGGATGGGGATCCCACCTCGGAAACACGGGATGGGGATCCCACCTCGGAAACACGGGATGGGGATCCCACCTCGGAAACACGGGATGGGGATCCCGAGGGATCGGGGACATTCGGGGGTCCCTCCCCACCGAGGGAACGAAGACATTCCCTTTATCCCGGGAATTTTTTAGCCCCCCCAGGGATGCCCGTGCAGTTGTGTCCTTCATCACCTCATCCCACGGGATACTCCACGGCATTCCATGATTTTTTTGGGGGGGGGTGTCACAAGCTGCCAGCTGAGTTCTTCCTCCCCCTCGTCCCTCAGCCCTTCCCTGAGGATTCCCGGCCGCGGGAGCTGATCCAGAGGGATCCAAGTCTCGGGGTGATCCCGGATTCCTGCCCTGCTCCCGGGATTTAGCGGCTCGTGGAACAGAGCTCGGGATTCCCTGGAACTGGGGAACTCCCTCGGGGTTTAGGGGTGGGATTTGATGCCCTTTCAGGGTCTTTTCCAACCTAAACCATTCCCAGTTTTTAAGTGGGAAGAGACGGAGAAGGAGGTGGATCCACAGCCCCCGGAATACAACGGGAGAGCACCTGGAATTGGGATTCAAAGCGGCCCCTCCCTCCTTTCCCACCACTTCCAAGGGCTGCCCATTCCCTGGGAGGTGGGAGGACCCTCCTTGAGCCCCTGCAAACAGCGGGTGACCCCCCCTTTGGAATGTGAGGAGGAGGAAAAGGCCTTGGAGGGCGATAAAACCCCGGAACAATTCCCAAACAACTCCCTGTTCATTCCCAAACAACTCCCTGTTCTCACCCCCTTCCCAGCCCGGAGCTGATCCCAAGGATTTAACCCCGTCCTGGCCAAACCCAGCAGGGAAAGGGAGGAGAAAAAGCAGGAAAACTCCCGGATTGAGGGGAAAAAAAACAGGTTTAATGAACTCAACGAGCAGAAAAACAGGGAAAGGAAAACCAGGGAATGCCGAGGGCTGCCGAGATCCACAGGCTTGGGAACGGTGGAACCATCCCAGTGCTCCCAGTACGGCCCAGAGGGGGGGAAAGCCAAGCCCATCCCAGTCCTAACCGGTAGGACCAGGAGCTTTCCCTCCCTGTGCTTGGCCATTGCTTGGCCAAGAGCTTGGCCATTGCTTAGTCCAGCCTAAGAGCCACTCACAGGCCTAGAAGTCCCTCAGTCCGGCCTAAAGGCCCCCCAGTCCTGCCTAAAAGCTTCAGAAATCCTAAAAGCTCCCAAATCCTGCCTAAAACCACTCCCAGGCCTAAAAGTCCAGCCTAAAAGCCCCCCAGTCCTGCCTAAAAGCTTCAGAAATCCTAAAAGCTCCTAAATCCTGCCTAAAACCACTCCCAGGCCTAGAAGTCCCTCAGTCCGGCCTAAAGCCCCCCCAGTCCTGCCTAAAAGCTTCAGAAATCCTAAAAGCTCCCAAATCCTGCCTAAAACCACTCCCAGGCCTAGAAGTCCCTCAGTCCGGCCTAAAGGCCCCCCAGTCCTGCCTAAAAGCTTCAGAAATCCTAAAAGCTCCCAAATCCTGCCTAAAACCACTCCCAGGCCTAAAAGTCCAGCCTAAAAGCCCCCCCAGTCCTGCCTAAAAGCTTCAGAAATCCTAAAAGCTCCTAAATCCTGCCTAAAACCACTCCCAGGCCTAGAAGTCCCTCAGTCCGGCCTAAAGGCCCCCCAGTCCAGCCTAAAAGCTTCAGAAATCCTAAAAGCTCCCAAATCCTGCCTAACAGCTCTCCCAGGCCTAAAAGTCCAGCCTAAAAGCCCCCCCCAGTCCTGCCTAAAAGTTTCAGAAATCCTAAAAGCTCCCAAATCCTGCCTAAAACCACTCCCAGGCCTAGAAGTCCCTCAGTCCGGCCTAAAGGCCCCCCAGTCCAGCCTAAAAGCTTCAGAAATCCTAAAAGCTCCTAAATCCTGCCTAAAACCACTCCCAGGCCTAAAAGTCCAGCCTAAAAGCTTCAGAAATCCTAAAAGCTCCTAAATCCTGCCTAAAACCTCTCCCAGGCCTAAAAGTCAATCCTAAAAGCCCCCCAGTCCTGCCTAAAAGCTTCAGCAGTTCTAAAAGCTCCTAAATCCTGCCTAAAACCACTCCCAGGCCTAAAAGCCCCCCAGTCCAGCCTAAAGGATTCACCAGCTCTAAAAACTTCAGCAGTTCTAAAAGCTCCCAAATCCTGCCTAAAACCTCTCCCGGTCCAGCCTAAAACCCTTCCCAGTCCTAAAACTTCCCCCAGTTCCACCTAAAATCCCCTCAGTCCCGCTGAAACCTCTCCCAGGTTTAAAAGCTCCCTCAGTCCCACCTGGAAGTCCCAGTTCTGCCTAAAACCACCCCCAGTCCAGCCTAAAACCTCTCCCAGTCCTGAAACCTCCCCCAGTCTCACCTAAACCCTTCCCCAGTCCCACCTGAAAGTCCCTCAGTCCCACTTAAAAGCTCCCTGGTCCTGCCTGAAACCTCCCCCCAGTCCCGCCTAAACCTTCCCCCATTCCAGCCTAAAACCTCTCCCAGTCCTAAACCCCCCCTGAGTGCCACCTAAACCCTCTCCCAGTCCAGCCTAATGCCCTCCAGTCCCACTTAAGTCCTGCCTAAAACCTCCCTCCAAGTCTCGCCTAAACCCTCCCCCATTCCAGCCAAACCCTTTCCCAACCCTAACCCCCCCCCAGTCCCACCTAAACCCTCCCCCATTCCAGCCTAAACCCTTTCCCAGTCCTAAACCCTCTCCCATTCCAGCCTAAACCCTCTCCCAGTCCTAAAGCCTCCCTGACTCCCACCTAAACCCTCTCCCAGTCCCACCTAAACCCTCCCCCATTCCAGCCTAAACCCTTTCCCAACCTTAACCCCCCCCCAGTCCCACCTAAACCCCCCCCCCAGTCCCACCTAACCCCTCCCCCACAGTCCCACCTAACCCCTCTCCCAGTCCCACCTAACCCCCTCTCCCAGTCCCACCTAACCCCCCCCCCAGTCCCACCTAACCCCTCTCCCAGTCCCACCTAACCCCTCCCCCAGTCCCACCTAACCCCTCTCCCAGTCCCACCTAACCCCTCTCCCAGTCCCACCTAACCCCTCTCCCAGTCCCACCTAACCCCTCTCCCAGTCCCACCTAACCCCTCTCCCAGTCCCTCCTGCCGCCCTGCAGCGCAGCCCCAGCCCAGCCCTAGTCGAGCTCCATGTCGAGCGCGGCCCTGACGCGGTCGCGGTACCCGGGCCGGAGGCGCATCCCGCCCAGCCAGGCCAGCTCGTTCTTCCTGCGGTGCCGCAGCTCTATCTCCTCCCAGAGCACCTCCAGGGCCAGGCCGGGGACGCTGAGCAGCGGCTCCAGCCGGGCCCTGCGGGCGCTGCCGGCCCTCACTCCCGCCAGGATGAGCGGGAGCATCTCTGCCCAGCCCTCCCCGACCTTCTGGGCCACCCTGCGCAGGCTGGCGGCCACGGGGCAGTCCCGGCCGCGCTCCAGCCTGTCCCAGTATCCCCGCAGCTCAAAGTGGCACAGGGCGTCCCCGAGCCAGGGCGGCTCGGCCGGGACACGCACCGTGCCCACCTTCCCGAACACCTCCCAGCGCCGCCGCATGACCGCCACCCAAACCCGCAGCGTCTCCTGCGGGAACTCCCCCAGCGGGAAGGCGTCCACCCAGCCCGACTCCTCGTCCCGCACCACCAGCAGGGCCCGGAACCCCTTGGGATTCTCGGGAAGGTCGTCGGCGACGCCGACGGAGAGGCAGGACCAGGGGCCCTCCGGCCGCTGCGGCCCCTCCTGGCCGTCCCCGCACTCCGGGCAGGCCCGCACCCAGCTCTTCACCTCCTGTGGCGCCCACGACCACCAGGCCACCGCCCGCACCCGCGCCAGCGTCTCC